CGTGATCCTCACATGCTGTTCCTGTTTTTAACCATAAAATGCCAATTAGAATCTACGCTAAAAAATTAAACCAGAAACCCTAGGATTATGTTAACCCAGGGTTCACAATTGTGTCAAAATCAAGGGGGTAATCCACCAGCCGGAAACTGAAGCTTCGCTTGGGGGCCGCCATAGCAGACCATCACCTGCTGTTAGCATTCCATTGACTCCCAATCATTTTGGCGTCACTTCGTCAGCAAATAACTTTACATCTGAGGCGTCCAAAGAGTCCATTTGTCCATTATTTATTTCTAAAGAAACACGACAATGTATAAAAGGCTCCATTACTTTGTATCTTACGTTATGGCCCTGTAGAAGCCGTTTTTGTAAAAATAGGCATAACCACAGGACTCTCTGTCGCACAGTAGAGAAATTACCGTATAGACAGAAGGAGAAGCTCGTAGGCAATCTTTTACTGTCTATGAGGCAATCGGGTGGACATTGAGACATAAAGTCAAGGGAGAAGCCCATAGATAGAGAGTCCATAAAAGCAACGGGACAAAATATTTCAACAACAGATTTGTTTCAGATTTCAATTCAGATTTGTCTTGGCACAGCTACTAGAAGACTTACAACTGTCAGAACGGTTGCTCACGTCACATCTACGTCGTCAAGCTCAGTTTGAGCCTGCGCAGTGCGCTCAGCCATCAGGAAGTGAGTGCTTCTAACAGGCTTCAATTTTCTCCGTTGAAATCTATGGGGTCGCTGTGTCCATTTCGTTTACTGTCTATGGTCAAAATCCCAAATGTGTGTCTTGCACGATATCAGCATTGGCTAAATGACTGGAACTCTTCTTACCTTAACCCCCTATTCGTATTTTGGTCACATTAAGGTTATTTACTTTATCTTCAATTCACCAAGTTCCTATGTGCAATAGAGAAGCCCTTAATTAATACCGCTGGCCTTTTACAACCCATCACTTATGATTGTGGTGAGAAAGGAGTGAATCATAAAAGATTATGCCTCTTCAAATCCCTGTGACTAATGCCTGCGCCTGTCTTCCTCCCTTGCACCCGTGCTCATTCTCATGTGGAGACAGAGAGGGATTCCAGCCTGTTGATTGACAGTGAGGCGTCTCATTCTCCGTTTCCAGCCATTTTTTTAATGGACACTTAACTTTACTAGTGCTGGTCCTGATAGTCTCTCATTCCATCATCTCATCAGCCCCCTCAGAGGCGCTCCTGTCGATGGAAACACAAATGGCAGTTTTAATAAGCCACTATGTTTATCCCGCTGGCAGCGGGGTTTCCGTTTAATGCGTTCCTCTGTGGTGGTTCCTCATTGGCTTGTGCCATTAGAGGTGCAAAGCTCATTAGATCTTGATATTAAACACCGCTGTGGTCCTGCCGCTGTGTTCTGCCCTTAGCCGTGTTCATTACGGACAGGAAGATGCCCCATTCCTCTTTATTCCTCTTGCCGTGCATGTGAGTCTTTTCCTCTAATCAATGCTTCTCTTTCCACCTGCACACCCGAGGTGGATTTTGCCCGATCCGACACCATGGGGTGTTCTCGGCAAAATATCACAACGCCTTTGGTGGTGGAAGGATTTAGGGTCGAGAAGGGGCTGGCAGATTGCTCACACAAGGTTCTGTTTATTTCTGTTCTTTTCTATGAAGGTGTCAATCAAAGCTTGACCCCTAAACCCACCTATGTGCTGTAAGGGAGCTCATTCCCTGCCTGTTAGTCTCATACATCTGATGCACTCCCACTGGATTTCTTGCTCACACTTCAGATACCAGCCATAAAAAAAGTGTCCTGTCTGTTGTCCATTCGGTAAATAAATAAGCATGTTACTAAAATTTGATTCATTTGAGGAGCAGTACAGAAGAATCTTGGCTTGTATGCAAATAATATATATTGTTTATTTTAAATAATATATATACAGTATACACTCGCCGGCTGCATCAGGTACACCTAATCACATGGCAGAAACCCAATGAATTTAGGCATATAGATATGGCCAAGATGACCTGCTAAAGTCCAAACTGAGCGGGGACGAAAGGTGACTTTGAATGTGCCAGACGGGCTGGTCTGAGGATTTCAAAAGCCGCTGATCCACTGGTATTTTCATGCACGACCATCTCTAGGGTTTACAGAGAATGGTCTGAAAAAGAGAAAGTATCCAGTGAGCAGCAGTTCTGTGGGGTAAAATGCCTTGTTGAAGCCCGAGGTCAGAGGAGAATGGCCAGACTTGTTCGAGCTGATAGAAAGGCAAAACTAGCTGCGTTTCCATTACCCTTCAAATTGCGCAAATTGAAATCGAGAATTGAAAATGCGCCCAATGGAAACACGTCAATTGCGCAAAAACTCCCATATATCCCAAAAATGTTTTTACACTTGCATGAGGCAATTCGAAAAAGGAATATTTCGCAAAACTGCAATGGAAACAGTTTTTTCGCATTTACAGGTCAACTGGCGTACGTAAACATCACATGATCGTTCTTTAAAGATAGCGCGGTATGTTTTGACAGAAGACGAGACAGAGTTCTTTATTTAACTCATAAAAGACAATTACGGATATACTGGATTCTAAACAACAAAGAAACGCCAAAATTGATCAAGATCTTGACGCAGAAACGAGGGAGAGGAGCTTCCAGAAGCTCCTCATACGTGGCCATGACTTATCGTGAGAGAAAAAAATGATGTTCTGGTCGCAAAACATCGGTTAATGGAAACGTCGTCATTTCGCAATAAACAATCGTTACAACCGATGTATTCAGAAGAGTACTGTGCTAAGAAGCTACAATTCGCACAGGCTCAACAAATCAAACAACTGACGATTGAAAAAATGTTGCCTGGCCTGATGAGTGTGCTGAGTCAATGATTTCTGCTGCATATATATTTATCTTTTTGCAGGTGTTTGCATACACCGATCATTCTTCTTGCAAATGCAAATCTTGCAGATACTCATTCGTCTTGCAAAATTAGCAAGCGTGTCAATCCCTAAACCTACGTGTCAGAGGTTACATTGCTGTTCTGTAAATCTGCAAAAAAAAATATTATCGCGCCGATACAATGAGATGTCTTTTAAAACTGTGACAGGATGTGGCATGTGCACTGAGTTAGAAGAAAACGCCACAGGCCCCCCGTTGCACAGTGGGTTATGAAGCAGTAGCAGAGCCCATCTCTGTGCGAGCACTGGCTGAAAAAAAAAAAAGAAGCATTTTCTACTCTTCTGTGTGGAACTGAGGCTTTACAGGATTATCTGTTATTCTCAAGTCATCATTGGATGTGACAGAAAGACATGGGGCACAGCGTGCGACACGGCCATTTACAGATGAATAGACTGTTTATACATCACTGCTGTCTTGTCGTGCTGAAGCAAATGTGGTTATAAAGTGATTTGATGTTGAATTTAATTTCTTTTCTCCCTTAAAGACCACAAAAAAAGGCATTCACAATGCATTTACTTCCATAATTCAACTTATCTGAATGAAACTGTGCAAAATAATGTAGGGAGGGATTTGCTTTACAAGTCTGGATTTGATTGTATTGTTAAAAGTGAATTATAGATGCTGTGATATCATTGGCTGTAATGGATAATATTATTTTACCCCTCCCAAGTGGCTTGTTGCATTATAGCAGGAAAGAACAGTTGTTTCAGAGCCTGGAACGTTGTTATATTTTCATGAAAAACTATGAATGATTATTTTTATGACTATTAAGTTGTTTGTCTGTTCACAAAAAACGCAAAAAACAAACAAAAAAAAACTTGTGTGACGCAACACAAGCCAGTCGAATCATATTTAATGTTAAATACAATGAGATTTCCACAAGAATGCTACCTACAAATTGCCCTGTACCCTTTCACATTGAAAACTGTTTAGAACACTGTATATGTAATTTTAGAACTATTATATATTAGAATATCTTTTCTTTGCTTTTTCAACGAATGGATTTAATGGTTTTTAGACCGCAACAAAATGAGCAATTCTTGTCTTGGCTGTGTTTCCAGTCTTCATGCTGGTTGAAACGGGAGCAGCCTGCCCTCAGTGGAGGGTCAATGATGTCATCCCATGTTGCTCTGAATGGTTGTGGGAACATCTTTTCCCTCCATCATTAGATGAAAGAAGCTTAAAATAGGCTGTTGACTGCCTTGGGCAAATTAACATGTGATCCTCTGTGTGGAACCTTCAAGTGAGTGAGGAGCAGCACAGTGTTTTCGCTGTTTTTGCCAGCAGTAGTGCAGGTGTTTTTTTTCCTCGGGTTTGAGATTCTCAGGACGCTTGTTACGAGATCTGTGCATTGATGAAGACCAGAGACCTTTATAGCCAGAATACATATTTATTTTGTTTAGGCAGAGAAAATACTGTTCAGAGAAAAGGAAACCAAAAAACACCAAAAAATAAACTCTTTTTTTTTCCCCCTCATACAATTGGCCCTCAACACAGCGTAAAAAGAAAGTGAAGAACATAAAATGGACAAATATATTCTACACTGAAAGGTCATCCATAGTGTTAAAAGGCTGGATGATCTGGGTTATTGAGAATTGTGTGCCAACAATTTAATTATCCCCACCCTTTAGAGTGAGTTTGTGTGGGACATAGATGCCCTTTGGGTCATCGGTTGGCATTTTAGTGGGAGATTTTGGCTGTACTAAGACAGTAGTTGTGCTTATGAGTGGAAAAACAGAGCAATGAGCAAGGCATAGGAGGTGGAGAAATGCCTCCGGTCATGAGGACAAGCTGAGCAGCAACTGAACAGGGTTTCTAGAAACTGGGCTCTAGAAGAGGAGAATTTAACCGTTCTAAAAGAAAACGCATGCAGGTGTTACACAGTCTGACGTACCAAAAGCAGACAAATACAAATGGAAAAGTCCTTAAAATCATGCAGATGAAGTGTTTTGCTTGGTTTGGGGGTCATTGAGTGAGATTGCAGCCCAAGGACTCAATTAACATTTGATTGGGCTGGCTGAAGTCCTCCTTATCATCTGAGGGCAGATTTGACTTTCTGAAGGGAAGTGAGGTTTGAAAACACAGTCTTTGTTTAGTTAAAGGCAGTTTCGGGTGAGAGATTTCTAGCTAAATTTGAGGTTTTTGTGAAAGAAACTTTCTGATTTGTTTTTTTGACACATTTAAAAGTATAAAATCAGGTTTCCCAAAGTGTGAAGTATCTCGTCAACTCTCAGTTACTCTAACGTTCAAGAATATAATTTACTTGTATTGTAATTAAAATCACCACTTAAAGAATATCACTCATCAGGCTTCAAACATTAATTCAATTTCTTGCGGATTAACCACATGCCCCTTTTGTCATTTTGATAAAGGCAATTTTAACATGTCAGAACACGACCTTCCTCCTCCTGAGCTTTATTACATTTAATCAAAACTAATTCAGCACAGCAAATTATAATAATAAAAAAAATCATAGTTGGCAGATTTCTGTAAATAGCACAGAAACAAACAATGAATAATAAAGAAGGAAAGATGCGAGAGAGAGAGAGGAGAGGCCTGTCTATGTTGATCTGGCACAAGGGAACACTACAGACCAGATGCAGGCGTCCTTCCGTCAACTTCCTCTCTGATTACACGGGTACGGTCATGGCGGTTGTTGGGCACGTAGGTCCGAGGTCACATGTTTTTGTTGTTGTCATGGTGATGGCACTGGCTGCAAGCGGGTGGATCCAGGAAGGGAAGCTCCTGCTCTGTGCTGTGGAGACGGAGCACTCTGGAGTTCAGGTCCACACAGCACTGGGAATAGAGAGCAGATCATTGCATCACATCTGGTGTATTATACTACTTATTATATTGACTTCTCGTTGTCACAGTTGTTGCTTTTCTGACTGATCAGACTTGAAGCTTTCCTCTTACAAAAGATCAAATATTCCATAGAATTCTATCTATCTATCTAATTGTCTGTCTATCTGTCTGTCTGTCTGTCTATCTATCTATCTATCTAATTGTCTGTCTATCTGTCTGTCTGTCTGTCTATCTATCTATCTATCTATCTATCTAATTGTCTGTCTATCTGTCTGTCTGTCTGTCTATCTATCTATCTAATTGTCTGTCTATCTGTCTGTCTGTCTGTCTGTCTGTCTATCTATCTATCTAATTGTCTGTCTATCTGTCTGTCTGCCTGTCTATCTATCTATCTATCTAATTGTCTGTCTATCTGTCTGTCTGTCTGTCTATCTATCTATCTAATTGTCTGTCTATCTGTCTGTCTGTCTATCTATCTATCTAATTGTCTGTCTATCTATCTATCTAATTATCTGTCTGTCTGTCTGTCTGTCTGTCTATCTATCTATCTATCTATCTAATTGTCTGTCTGTCTGTCTGTCTGTCTGTCTGTCTGTCTGTCTGTCTGTCTATCTATCTATCTATCTATCTATCTATCTATCTGTCTATCTGTCTGTCTGTCTGTCTGTCTAATTGTCTGTCTGTCTATCTATCTATCTATCTGTATGTCTGTCTGTCTGTCTATCTATCTATTGTTCTGTCTGTCTGTCTGTCTGTCTGTCTGTCTGTCTGTCTGTCTGTCTGTCTGTCTAATTGTCTGTCTGTCTATCTATCTATCTATCTGTATGTCTGTCTGTCTGTCTATCTATCTATTGTTCTGTCTGTCTGTTGTTCAATCTGTGTCTGTCTGTATGTATGTATGTATGTCTATTTGTCTGTCCGTCTCTCAATCATTTTATCTATCATTCTATTTGTCTGTCTGACGATTGATCTGTCTGTCTGTCTGTCCGTCCGTCTATCTCTATCATTTTATCTGTCGTTCTATCTGTCTTTCTGACGTTTCATCTGTTTGTCTGTCTAACTATTGTTCTGTCTATAAATCGCTGTCTGTCTGTCGTTCAATCTGTGTCTGTCTGTTTATCTATCTATCTGTCTGTCTGTCTGTGTCTCTATATCAGTTTGTCTCTGTCATTCAATCTGTCTGCCATCCTATCTAATTCTGTCTGCCTGTTCTATCGTTCTACACATCTGTCTGTCGTTCAGTTTGTTATTCTATCTTTTGTTCTATCTATCGTTCTATACGTCTGTCTGTCGTTCAATCTGTCTGTTATTCTATCTATCATTCTGTCTATCGTTCAGTAATACGGTCTATCATTCTGTCTATCTGTTTGCCTGCCCTAGCAACAAATGATGACACCTTAGCAGCTGCTTAGTTAATGTTCTATTTTTAGATACTTTATGATAAAAAATTATGAGCAAGGACATTTCAAGTAACTACGTAACCACTGGAACTGAGAAAAATGGCTTTTTATATAAAAAAAATATTTATTTGATTTGTTTTCACAGTCTGTTTTCTCTAAATCTGATCATAGTTAAACCAAACACCGGTCACAGGACAGATCATAGTCTAAAGTCTTGACTTTGGTCACTGGTTCTCACAATGTGTAATTACTGTGTTGTGCCTTTTTAAAGCAAGATTATTGGTGAACATTCTTTATTGTTGTTGTTTGCCACTGTACATGTAACAGCCTGAAGAGCATTTATATATTCCAGGTGAAAAGACTGGCTGAAAAATAGGCCTAAGTTTAATTCTCCTGTTTATTGTCCTCACAGGTCCGCATTGGTTTCAGGGATCCTTCTCCTTGCATACATTATCTTTTTCTTCTGACAAGAATAGTATTTGCATATACTTATAGAGATACTGTCCACGTCCTCCACACTTTCATCCTCTAGCTTTCTCTCTCTCACACATCCCCTTTTCTCGCTCCCACTGTCATACTTTAAAAAGGATTTTCTCTTCTTTTAATAGCATTTATCTTCCTCCTCATAACTCATGTAAACCCCAAAGGGGATTTTTTCCCTGGCATTTGAAATAGCCATATTCAGAACTGAGTCAATATTTAGATATATGATCATAAAATAACTCCCCGATCATGTACAGAGCTACTTAGTGTCAGAAAGCATCGAACATGGCCTCAAAACTTCTTTGCTTCTTGTTTTTGGACGTATTTCATAATATGATTTGCATCACGTTATGTCTGTGATGATTTCAGCATGCTTATTTTTCACCGTTCAGTTGTTCAAAATCAACTGGTAGAGCATTGCATGAGAACACATACTACTCACTGATAAAATAGATACTTTGAATGCAATGTAACTTTTGATCATCTAAATAAGTTGCTTTGCTAAATAATGTGATTTTTATCAAAAAACTAAAATCAAAATTTACAAACTGTATGATTATAAGCTTGTAATTTGCTATTATTAGGTCTCATTTAAATGAATGATGATGTGATCTAGATCAAACTGGGGGCAGAGGAAAAGGTTGAGATGAAAAAATAGTGTAATAAAACATTATTCATTATAAATAATATTATTAAGAACAAAATATGGGTACATATGTTAAAAATGTACAGAATTTTACTCAACATTTATAAATATTTTATTCTATCGACAGCAATAGTTTAGCAAAAAATATGTAGAGTATATTTTACACATTTATTTATATATATATACTGTATATACAGTGCAACATCTGATCTAGATGACCAACACGATTTGCAGTAGCAGAAGCAAGTGATTTTCAAAAATACGTATGCATGCATTTAAAACTCACACTGAAAATACAAAACTTTTAAAAGCCAGAGACGCGTGGATTGGAAATCATGCCACTCGAGACTCTGAAGATTAGGTTTAATAAACGCAGGGCTTACTTTGAGTTCCAGCAGAGTCTGTAGACCCAAGCACACCTCAAACGTGGCATCCTCTGTGAACAGACGAGAAGTGAGACTCAAAATGTGGGAGGCAAAAAGAGAATATCTATCCCCTGTGAGCATAATTTTATTCTTTCTCTAAATAGAAGAGCACATGAGGTGGCTTGATAAAACTGCCATCATTGGTATAGCTTGTATAAGTCTGTATGCAATGCATGCACGAAACACGACCGCCACCGTGCCCAAGTCATGTACTCTTCTGTTATGTAATTCCTCTGTGCTGCCCACATTTCTTTGTTCAAGCATTCCCAGACTGAACTGGAAAAGGTCAGTGGCTTACTCTGAAAGCTGTATGCAAATACAAGCTGAAGACATTTATATTAAAATCCCTTTTCACACTCTCATAAGACTTTTCTCTTTGCATTAAACTTATATTTAGACATGACTGGTTGAAACCGGTTCTGTTAAGGAGAATGCCCTGGATATCTCTAAGCTATTCTGTATTCAGTCAAATCTATCAAACATTTTATAAACCGCTGAATGGTGCCATGTTTTTATTAATGCAATGGGCAGTGCATAAGAAGTGACTGGAGAAACTTTGAAATCTGACCTATGACCTGGGCAGTGCATTGAACTCTTTCTCTGCCCAGCTGCAGGTGCAGGGACTTCACTGTCTCCACTGTTGAATCACTGAGTGGCAGCCTGTCTTGAGGTTTGTCTTCTTGGTTGGTTTTCAGTCTGCAATAAATACAAGCATTTAGGACATGTAGTATATTTTATTAAGGTTTTATGCCCAGTTTCACAGACAAGGCTTAAACCTAGTCTCAGACTAAGTAAACCCTAAGGGGACAAAATGACAATGGCAATATCCAAAATCCTTGTCCTTGTGGGGACATTGGTTTGAAAACAGCTTATAAATCATACTAAGTGATGTTTCGTGAAAATGTACAATGCAGAAAGTTTTCTGTGATGGGTTTTGGGGGGCATGGATAGAATATACGGTTTGTACAGTATACAAACCATTATGTCTATGGAAAGTCCCCTAAAAACACAACGTGTGTATGCGTGCGTGTGTGCGTGTGTGTGTGTGTGTGTGTGTGTGTGTGTGTGTGTGTGTGTGTGTGTGTGTGTGTGTGTGTGTGTGTGTGTGTGTGTGTGTGTGTGTGTGTGTGTGTGTGTGTGTGTGTGTGTGTGTGTGTGTGTGTGTGTGTGTGTGTGTGAAATAAACGTACCCCAGTCGTCTGCAGCATGTTTTAGAGATGTGGTTGTGTTGGCACCCTGTGTTTATGGATAACATCACCTCTGCATCTCCACTCTGCAAAATAAAAAAATGTCTTCACTCAGATGAATTCCCTGATAATATAATCTTTCTCCCTTGTGATGCCTTTTTCACGCTTTTCATGTGACAGGAATTTTAAATACCAGAACACATTATCAGTCAACAGTTTAACAACGTCGACGCCAAGCTGAGACACTACAGTATGTTGAAGAACAGATATTAGCTCTTGCTCTTTTAAATAGACAGTGCCAGGTTTTGTTTTTGCATTGTGTGACAGTATCATTCAGGATTGATGGTTTAGCAGCGTCTGAGGATAATAGTCCTGGTTAATAATGGACTGACACTGTCAAAGGTACTTTGTGGAAGCCCCTGTCGTTTCGCTTCAGTGAGTCAGTTTATTCTCAGTCTGTCCCTTAACCTGAAATTCCATCAGCGCTTGCAGAATTCAGAGCTCATCAGATGAACAATGACCCTGTGCTTTTGCAGCATTTGCTGTTTGGAAGGTCTAAGTGCCTGTTCATGCTGCTTGCTTGACATTTATGTGTAAATAATTTGTTCTGTATTAGCAGAATTAGTGGATTGTCTTTTAACTTATTAGCCATCCGTTTGTTTCCTGATGGATTCTTCCACACGGTTGGGTCAAACCACATTTGTGTAAACAGTAACTTCAGCAACGAATACAATAGCTTACTCCATTTGTGTTATTTCAGGCATTTTTCTTAATGGATCAGCGCAAAAAACGCTGAAAAAAAAATGGTGGGTTTTTTAGCTTCTTTTTTTCATACTTCCTATGTGCAAGTATATGCACATTTTGTGTGGGGGAAAAAACAAAGTATAAATATGAAAATAGTACCTTTTATGTATTTTTTAAATTTTCAAACAAAATGTGCATGTCTGCACAGAATGAAGAAGACAAATACATTTTAGTTTATATATTTAATTTGTAGTGGAGATATTATGGTAACCCTTTACAATAAGGCCCGTTAGTTGATGTTAGTTAATGCATTATCTACTCTGTAAAAAAATATATGATCAATAAGTATGACAACATATGTTTTTACATTGATTTAACTCATCAAAATAAGTTATACCAGATTCAACTCATTTAAGCCAGTTTAATTTCATTTAAGTTGAAACTGCGTACAATCAACTTGAATGTTTAAGGCAGCAACTTTTATACAGTGTAACATTAACTAACAATGAGCAATACATTTAGTACAGTATTTATTAATCTATGTTAACCTTAAGTAATTAAACTTCAACTGTTCATTGTTAGTTAGCTCGGTCCTTTACATAATATTAACAGATACAACCTAGATTTTAATAATGTATTAGTAAATGTTGAAAAAATTCTACAAATACTTTTCATTGTTAGGTCATGTTAACTAACGTAGTTAATTAATGTTATCAAATGGAAACGTATTGTAAAGTGTAACACCTGAAGTGTCGTTGCTGTTACATCATAACTCCCTCTTATAAAAAATATATACCATTTCATTTCATAATTAATAATTGTTTGAAAAAAAACTCCAAGAACAACTATGTTACCGTGATTTTGTACAGTAAATACAGCCATTAAGAAAAGTATTTGATTTGATTTGATCTGGATTAGAGTACACAATATTTATTAAATAATACTTTAATTTATTATATCATATAATAATAATAATAATAAATTAGTGTCGTGGGAGAAGGAAGCCTCAGCTGAGATATTTCGAGGGATTTGGAACCTGTTTTTAGCATATGGTCTCTCAGCATGCACGAGGACTTACAGACAATATGGCTCCACCTACACACAGCTAAAGCGTTGTTAAGCTTTTGCTCTTCGCCTGTTTGTTAACTGCACAGTTAATGAGTGAGGGATGAGGTCTGCGTCAACACTGTTCCACCGTTAAAGATAAATAAGTGGATGAGAGCTTTGTTGCAACCTCTTTTGAGTTTCCTGTCACTCAAGGTGAGCTGTCACCCCCGCAACTTTCCTACCACATAAAAGGTGGGACACACCATCTCTCGCACCAGTGCGTCAGTCTCTCATTGTGCACTTACGGGGGGCCGTTGAGCCCCTCTCGCACATTGTTCCGACCCCACTAGTATGTTCCACGTGCACTTGCATGTTTCCTTGCATTGTTTCACACTTGTTTCTTCCTCTGCTAGCTTTCTAGTGCTGTGTTGAAAGTGTTTTTGTTGCAATGCGAGATGGCCTAAATGAAACACATTGAGGTGGAAACACACCATATGAGGCAAACTGTGACTTTTGGATATGTGTCAGGTTGTGTACGTCTTCATTAGTTTCTCAGTGTCTTTCCTTGCACACTGCACTCCTAGTTGACGCTATAAAAACAGTCAAACTCGGTGGGATGCTTCCATTGTGAGATGTGCTATGTCTTTATTTGATTGCCGCTATTATAAATGGGTGTATCTGTGTGCATTGGTGCATGTGTGATACATTTATAATGATGCTCTGCATGGAGCAAAATCGTGCTTGAATTGCTGCCTCTGTATCTTTCCAGAAAGGGAGGGATGAACCAGTACCCGCTGCCCCATTTATCTGGCTCTTCATTACCCAAGCTTTAATTAGACGCTGATGGTTTCGTTCCGTCTTTCAGTTCACGTATCACAACACAACTGCATGTGTTTTCCAGAACATTCAGTTCATTCGGAATGCACGTGTGATCTGGAACATTCAAATGAGAATTTCCATTCATTTAACTTAAATCCGAGCCTTATTACACTGCTTTTTGGAATACTTCATTACGATTGGTCGGTCGTGTCATGGCCGAATGTTTTTTGTATAATGACCCAGCAATTGTCTCTTGTATCACTTTGTGGTCTCTTTCTTAACCCTCTGGGCTTCTTCGGTCAAAAATGACCGAAACAGTATACGTTTTGAAATGTTTAATTTTTTTGCTTCATCGGAGGGGGATGAAACTTGGTGACTTTTGTTGTATTACCTATGTGAACACACAAAAAAATCAAGGTGATGATTCGGATATGTTAAAGGGTCTTAAAAAAAATAGTCACACTTAGCTTCCTTTCGGTCAAAAATGACCGACATAGGAAATGAATGGGAAATACGAAAAAATAGGAAAACTCAGAGAAACTTTTGGTGATACAAACTACAGATCAGCCAAGTGTACAGCAATGAAGGGGTGACACTCTAAAACATCAAGAGTGCAAATAAGACACCTCCCCCCCACACACACACACCAACGCACACAAACACACACACACACACACACAGAGAAATGAATAGGAAAGACTGTAACAGCAAATGTTGAGAAAATGCTAAATAAAATCAAAAATTTAAATAAAGTACAGATAGGCTACTCTTTCTCGCTCAAATGCACACACACACACACCTCATCATGTCTAAAACAACAATATGAATCAAAAAGCCTTTCTATGTATTTATATAGGAAGCCTACAGGCGGTTACGGACATTACACACATTTATACATTTTTACTTATCTAAAAAAAAAAAAAGAAAAAAAAAAAAGTAGTCTTTTAGCATATCTAAATATATATCTAAATAAAAAAAAACGAATAAGAGAGAGAAATCATGTCTAAAACAGCAATAGGAATCAAAAAGCATTTCTATGTATTTACATAGGAAGCTATGGGCAGCCTACAGGCGGTTACGGACATTACACACTTTAAAACATTTTTAAAGCCACTGGATGGCGGTATTCTCACTTGAATTTTTTTTTGCCTGCTGCCAGCATTATATTTTAATGTGTCACGTTGAGTTTTTTGAAAAAAAAAATTTTATATAAAAAAAAAAAAAAAAAAAAAAATTCTAATGGAAAAAATAGCTCGTAAAAATTATATAAATAATGCAAAGTATCATAAAAATCTTTAAAAATTCTAAATAATAATAAGAAAATATTATTGAACAAAAATATATTTGAATGGTTTTCCTGGGGGGGAAAAAAGTTACATTTTAAGGCTTCGGTCTTTTTTGACCGAAAGGAAGCCAAGTGTAACCCCTAAACAAAGAAGCCCAGAGGGTTAAAAAGAGAATACTATACAATAGGGTTACATTTTTAATATTAGGTGTCATATAAAATAACAATGAACAATTTTAACAGTATTTATTAATCTAGGTTAATGTTAATTTATAACTAATATAGCCTACTATTATTGTTCATTCATTTTTGTTCATTATACATTAAATATATTTAAAATGTGTAAATTATAAACTTTTAAAAATAGTATTTATAGTGGTAGAATAACCTTGATTCATTTGTTTGATTTTGAATTAGTTTGATTGATGATAATAATGCGAGTAAGTAGCCTAATTAATTGAATTTTAATGTCAGATCAATTAATTTTAAAATGTAAAATTATTAATTTGTTAATTTATTTACTTTTTTAAGTATAAGTAAATCATGTGCAGTCAGATGGGCATTATGACTAATTAAACTCTGTTAACTGTGTATTTTTGCCTTCACTATTACCATGCTGTGAGCTGGACAAGCTAAAATCACATCAGGTAGCATCACATTTTCACAGGCATTTCCATGATTGCCTAATTTGAGTTCAGTGGTCCATTGATTGGTCTTGGTCTTGAATTGTCAGCTGACATGTGTAGGCAGAGGAAATTAGCTGCTCTTTGGTTCACACCCAGCCCTGGTTTAATCTGCTTTAATTTAGGGTCTATTTTTACCGCGCTCAATCACTACATGAATGGAGGGTGATGGAGAGGGGGTCCTGCGAGATGGGCCATTTTGATCATGTTCAGTCGGCTCTATAGTAAAACAGAGAACCTTTTAATGGAAATGGATGGTGCTGGAAAACCTTGAAACATCAGGGAAATTTAGAATAGTTATTTTAAGATCTGAGGAAATAATTAAAAAATAATCATTTAAAAAGTGTATTAGTTATTGTCTTTAGTAAGTGTGTTGATTATGCTGCTACTTCTCCTGGTTTTCTCCTATGTGTAGAACGATTCATATTTTAAATAAATGCTGTTCTTTCTATTCATCAAAAAATCCTGAAAAAAAAAAATTAAACAGCACCATTGTTTTCTACATTGATGATAATAATAAATGTTTCTTAATATGCAAATCAGCATATTAGAATGATTTCTGAAGGATCATGTGACTGAAGACTGGAGTAATGTATGCTGAAAATTCAGCTTTGCCATCGCAGGAAAAAAAAAACATTTTAAATTATATTAAAATTAGTTAAATTAACTGTTGTTACTGTATTTTTAGCAAACAAATGTAGCCTTGGTGATCAAGAAACTTCTTACCGACCCAAAACTTTTGAACGGTAGTGTATCTTATAGTTCCTTGTGTCTTATGTATGAGTTTTTGAACCTTTGAAAAGTATGGGTCAGATAGATGTTATGTCACCATACAATGAGTCACTTGCGCACCAGTTACATAATTTCTGTTATAAACTTTGCATGTGGTGTTTCACTGATTTGGGCTTTTTAGATGCATACTGGCCCTCTAAAACCCCACCGTCGAGAACAATCGACTGCGAGGAAAATAAAACCATGAGTCATAGGGAGCCAGAGCTTGTGTTTTGTCATTACAGCAAGCTGTTATCGCTTCTATTATGGGCACAGACAGCTCAGCTCAGTTCATCTGTGTGAATGCCTACCTTACACTGGACCACTAGAGCTGAGAGGGAGGATGCTCTCTCGCCCTCTTTTAGACCTTTCTTCCTCTCATCTCCTATTTTGTCTTTCTGTTTGGACTCTGTCTTCCCTCCTGCATCGCTGCTGTCCCCTTCATATTCATTATCCGCATCTTCGTCAGACCTAAGGCTCTTCTCGCTCTCCTCTGGAGACTCCCTCTCCTCCGTGGAGTCATCCACCGTGCTCTCGCTCCTCTCCTCTGGCTCTCCGCCCTCTTTGCTGTCTGCCAGGGGTGAGCGAACAAGAGACGGGATGTCCCGGGCCTCTCCACGCAAACGTGGAATGTTGCCCTCCATGAGGCGTCGCTGCACGATGCTGTGGGGCTGCTGTATGGGGCACACAGGAATAGGAAGTGATGTCATTCATTGCTATGGCTGTACTATATTTCTGCAGTTTGTGTATTTTAGACAGTATGCACATTTTCTATATGCATCGAGAACCTGGTTGTTCTACTATATTTACCTAATACCAATTTTTTTGTCATAAAACTGGACTGAAAAAAAATATTAATTTAATTAAATATTTTATATAGAATTAAATATAAAATTAAAAATATGCACAATATAAATATTACATTAAGTTATATTATATTAAGTTAAAATTTTAATTAAATTATTGTCATGTGACTAAAGTGTTGCATAACTTGCATATAAGGAATACTGGTGTTCTACTTCAAACGTACCGTAGCCCATGATTTTTTTTATATATATATATCAGTAAGACTGCTGGGGAAAAACTAATTTCCAATTTTTGACAAACTCATTTCTTTCAATAGGATCCTCATGCATTATAATGAAGTACCAGTGGAGCTATTTTGTAGAATGATATTTTGCTGAGCACTTTGACGATACATGTTAATTGTTTTTCCCTTGTACATTGCTGCCGTTTTAATGCCTGTGGGAAATATACAAGTTTACGGATGTTTTTATCAGTCAGTTTTTCGCCATTGCCAACTCCGACATTAAACACTGAGTGCTGAAGTTAACTCCAGAACGACTCCCATCACTTTAATCACTGCTGAAGTGTGTGTGTGTGTGTGTGTGTCTGCTTTGGCCACAGTTCCTGAAAGACACCATTAACTTCCAGCATGCTTTTAATGTAAAGTGAAAGTAAAATCATTTTTTTATACAGTCGTTTTTGAGGCTGTGAGTGTCACTCTGTCAACCTTCTTTAACAAACTGATGCAATTGAGTCTCATTCAACAGGCTAACAGTATAACACTAAAAATAAAAACATCTCAAACAAATTCCTCAAAGCTTTCTTCTGATGCATTATTTCCGTTTCATTGGCCTTTTGATGTTAGTGTGATTCTAGTATGCTGTTATATTTCTTGTGGCTAGATAGCACAATATCTCAGTTATATTTCAGAAACAAATCCTGCAGATTGTTGTTTATGACAGATAAGTGAATATTGGATAAAGAAGGCAATCTGTGCACTGTACATAGTGCATGTGCTGTGTTACTGTCTATGAGATTGCTTCTCCCTATAACTTTGTTAGAGAACAACTGCCATTTCCACAACAGGGCAACCTGAGGAGACCAGACTGCAATTTGATCTGCTTTTAAAATTGTCTCTGCCTCTAATAATACAATTATCAGGACCTCTTGAAAGTACCATTCAGATATTCTCAAAGGGGAAGCTGAAAATACACAGAGAAACCTAGATCTTCCCTCCCTTCTCCCATCTCTTTCATCTGCTACATGTGCTGTTCTTTCGTAACTCAAAGCATATGCTCATCCTGTTCAAAAATTCAGCTTAAGATGATAGATGTGTTTTGGAAAGTAGTATAGTATATATATTCTAAAATAATCATAATGTAAAAAGATTGATATGCATTTTTGGAGAAAAGTGGAGAAAAATAAAAACACAATAAAAAAGAAGGAAAAATAGGTCTTTGAAGAGGAATGGAATGAAATAAAGCCTTTCATATCCAAAGTACGTGAGCATTGAATCAGAAAGACGTTCATCCTGTGCTTGTGTCAACATTTTTCTAGCATCGTGCTTTAAATGTGTCAGCTCACCAAAACATTATCACTAGGTATTTCCTCCAGCTATACGCAACAACACTATTGATCCGCTGCTGTGGGTTAGATGGCGTGTAATAGCATTTTTTATAATAGACTTTTGTACATTGATCGAAAAAGAGTGCGTGGCCGTCAGCAGACTCCCCAGCCACAAATAGAGTTCTGTTGCTTTTTGACTTTTTGCTACAAGATCAGCCTGGTGTGGCATTTTTCAATGGACATGTATTCAAGGCTTAGGCCTACAGATTTATGGATTTTCATCTTCTTTCATCAAATAAAAAGTCACAGAGGTTGCAGCAATCTGTTCTCTTATTCATTGATCTTTACAAAGTCCGATACCGTGTGATCAGATAAGACCATATCCTCACACAGAGTCAAAGGCTGAGATGGTATTGCAAAGCTCATTTTATCCCGGCATAATGAGATGACCTCCACAAGAGCCCTTAGATTCCTGTTGACACCCTCTTACAAAATGAGAAAAACCATCCAGCTGTGACTTGACTGTGGACGATGCTTCAGATGCTCTTTATTGCTGCTGTACATCCAAAGGCTGGTAAATTAGATTGTTATGATTGATTTGATTGATTACATTGCTTGCATGAAAACAAATGCATTGCTCTTGTTTCTGACAGCTACAGACCAATCACAACCAGTTCTGTTTGTCCTTCTGCTCAGATGGCCATAGCTTGTCTGGTTGAGTAAAAAGAGAGACTAAAAGGTAAATGCCAGTATCTTTGCTTGCTCTGCTGTTTACTGGTTTCACAAGGACATATTGATCTTCTTGCAAGTTTAACTTGTTTTGAATGAGAACGCAGGTGAAGTTAGATGTGTATAACCAGAACATCTGTAACTATTTACATGCAGGGTAAAATCCGGATGATGTCCGAAAAATATAAGTGTGCCAAGATTCAGGTTGTTAAACTGGCCTTATTTTTTTTTTTTTATTACCTGGTAATTAATCATAATCAGTGTAACATCATGCATATCAACGCACTCCATGTGTTTGTCTAAAAGTGAAACTATGGCATGATGACATGGTTTGATCACAGCACAACACAACAGTGCAAATGAATCTCTGAGAGCCTTTAAGTTAGATCTAAATGGAGAAAACAGTTGAGAAAAGACCTTCACACCACAATTGCCCATTATTTTATTTTATTATTATTGAAAAGATTAATAATGTAAGTGAACACATCAAGTTAATTGGGCTGTGATGAACCTCGTTTAGCACTCTTCTGCATATGTGTAAATACATAGTCAGGGTAATTCATTTTCTGTGGGAATCCTCTGATTCACCAACGTTTATACACTCACCGGCCTCTTCATTAGTAAGCTTGCTAGGACTGGGCTGGACCCGATTTTGCCTTCAGAACTGCCTTAATTCTTCATGGCATAGATTCAACAAAGGTGCTGGAAACATTTCTCAGAGATTTTGCTCCATATTAACATGATAGCATCACACAGTTGCTGCAGATTTGGCTTTTTCTTGCTTGTTTTAAACATCTTTTTTTTTTTAAGTAAAAAAAATGTTTGCTTAATTCAAGAAACATCTGTAAACAAGTCTTAATATTTCTTAATATTTTACCGTTATTAATATAATAAGATAAGATTATAAATAATTATCTTGCTAATTTACTGCATCATCTTACATCTTAGAATTGAAGATATTTTACTGTAAAACAGATTATTGAATACATTTTACAGTCTTTCTACTTCAAAATGTTCATTTAATTTAGTGTTGCTTCTTTGTAATTTGTGAAATTTACTAGCAATTTCTGAGTGAACATTGTTTTTACACCATTTTTTGTAGGGTACATGTACAGGTGAATTCAGATAAAATAGTTTTTCAGTCTGCTTTTAAACACAACAAAACTGAATTAGCCGTGTTTCTCTTTATCTGGGTTTGCTTTTGTAGGTTGATTTTGACAGGATTGATCATAGCATTATGTTTGTTTCTCTCTCTCTCTCTCTCTTTCCTTTGAGAGCTGGCTGTCACTACGTGTTGCCTTGATAGAGCTATGCTCTTGTGTGGTTCTGAGTTGTCGATTTGAAAAGACTCTGTAACCTTGTGCATCAGATTATATAAGTCATTGACACACCAGATGCAAAAAAAAAGGAAAAAAAATATTGACTATAGTCAGGATATAGAAATGGCCACCTTTCATAATAAGATTTTTAATACAGTCAAGGTAAATCATTAAAGGAGGACATAATGCAGTTACGAAATATTACGCTTAAAAGAGCAGTTTTTGTGTGTATTTTTTTCAAACTTATGTAAAGACTTCATAAGTCTTAGACTTCATAACTCTCATAAGACTTCATAACTCTCTCTTTGTCATTTTAAATTCAGAAATGCAATGAACAGATTATGATCAAATGCAAATCTCCCCTCTAAATCTATTCAGTCCCACCAGAACAATTATTTAAAAATCCATTTTAACTTGTAAACGCTGCAAGGGCCTTCATGAATGATTCATGATTCATTTGCGTAGGTCTGTGAATTAGATGTGTGTTATTATTGGTAGTTTGGGGGCAATTGCCATCCCTGGTCTGAATGAGAAACATCCCAAACTGACAGATTATCAGAAAATTATGTTTGGCCCAGAACAGCATGTCCTTAACAATGGTACTGTTGAATTGTGGGTAAATAGAGGTCAGTGTCTATTACTGGTGAAATAACTGACCCTTTCACAGCCTTTTTGTTCCATAACTTTAAGAAATTGTTGGCACAAATTGAGCAGTGACCTGCATGACGACCTGCTTTTTTCCACTATATAGAACCTTTTGTACATTGAAAAGTTTCCATGGATGTTAAAGGTTCTTCATGGAACCATGGATGCCAGTAAAGAACTTTTATTTTTAAGAGTCTACTTGCATGATTGCGGCTTTTGCCCCAAAAGAGCTTGCTCTCTTTCTCTCTCTCTTTGTGTGATTACCTGCTAATAGCTCATTATCAGACGGCAACAGCCTCCTCTCTCTCATTCAGAGAGTCATGTGACCTGCCTAATGGCTGATCTCCCGCCCCAGCACCAGACAGCCAGCTTCTCTCTCTCTCTCTCTCTCTCTCTCTCTCTCTCTCTCTCTCTCTCTCTCTCTCTCTCTCTCTCTCTCTCTCTCTCTCTCTCTCTCTCTCTCTCTCTCTCTCTCTCTCTCTCCCCCCTATTCATCTTAACCCTTTCCCTTATACCTTCTATGAAGCTGTACAGCTGTTTATTTTCCCCCCTGACACAGGTAGTATTTTTAGCATCTCTCCTAAAGGAACATTTTGTATCTCAGCTCCTCACAATCCCTCAGAGATCGA